CATGCAGGCTGCCTGGCCTCCAATTGAGCCAATGCATGTTTGTGTTGTGTGCTTTGCGCCGCTTTTGTTCCTGGGGTTTTTTAAATATTTTTTTGCTACTGGGAAATTCCAGTAGCAAACTTGCCACCACACAGCAAATTTATAGCGTAGGTTTTAACGTTTGCCACATGTGGCGTGTGGTGCCACAAAGAAGTTTGTAGCATCACAAATTTCACACTCCCACTCCTCTGTATGCAACAGATGCAGATGACAGTAATTCATACCCTAAGTAATGGGTTTGTATATTTGGCAGATTAAATGTTCTGTATTCCATTGCTATGAGGTATGGAAACTGTTCTGTGAAATATCCATTACTCATTCCTTCTGCTCTAAGCATGTAGGCCTACAAGCCAGTTGAAGGAAAAAGGTGGGGGGGGGATGAAAAAAGACGACTATAAATTTAGATTAATATGTTTCTTGAAAGGTTTCCTTTATTTTATTTCCTTGGTTTTTTTTAAATTAGGAAGCACACTAGACCCACAAGCCAAATACATGAAGGGGGACCAAAAAAACCCCAACCTAAACTCTCCAACTAGTTCATTAGATCTTATTAGGATCTTGTGTTTGAGCATCTGAATGAATCACGTGTCTGTTTTTCATTATTGTCTATATGTAATTGTTCCCTCCTTTGTTCAGAGATTTCTGGTCATTTTGTCATGACTGTGCTTGTTTTGTTTCCTATTGTTCTATTACAGAATTGTATTTGTTTCTCCTGTGCCTCAGGTAGTACATATGCCACCCAACAAAGTGCAATCTTGAAAGGAGAGGTTTCCACAGTGAACTCTCTTAGAACCTATGGACATTTATACACATGCTCCGGGAATGGAAGGATTGGGGGGGGCTTTAATTAGAGCAGCTCTTACAGCCACTCTAATTAAAACACTTGGAGCGTCTCGTGTATCAGCATCCCCATGCTTTAAAATGGTGGCGGGGGTGCTTTATCTAAAGCTCGTCTATGAGCTATTCTGAAGTATGGGGGTGCTGATACATGAAATGATCTGGGTGCTTTTGAAGCACCATTTTGAAGCAGGAGGACACTGATACAGAAGATGCTGGAGGCTGCTGGAGCATGGTAATTACCATGCTCCAGCATACTCAATTAATCGTGTCTGCTCTGACATGCTATAATTACAGTGCATCAGAGCAGCCTTGCTGATCATGTATAGGTATCCTATATGGTTTCCTGAAACCTGACTGAATAGCTGTGGCAGCAAGGCACCACCACAGGCTCTCGAGGGGGAGAGAGTGAACCCCGCGGGCCCCAAACCCCGAAAGCAGGCCCCCGGCGGAGCTAACTTACCTCCCGCAGGGCAGCCGGAGCAGCAGCCGCGCCCGCGGCCACAGCTGCATGAACCGGCATTACGCTGCCTGTTTAATCAGCTGTTTCTGATGTGGGAAACAGCTGAACCAATCCCAGCGGCTGTACCAGACACTGTGGGAAAGTTTAAAAGCCCCGCCGGAACTGTGGTGGGGGAGAGAGCCGGAGAGAGAGAGAGAGCGGGCTGGCTGCTCGTGAGGCGGGCGCCGGCACGGGGAGGAGGCAACCCAGCCTGTGTGGCTCACGCAGGCAGCACCGGGGAAAGCTTTAAGCCTCCGCAGGAGGCAAAGCAGGAGCACCCACACAGCCCTCGGAAGAAGCTGAGACTGAGGAGGCAGGGGAGCTCCCTGCTTACAGTAGGAGAGAGGAGGCATCTGAGATCCCTAGAGGGGGCTGGGATAAGGGAGACAGCCCTGCAGCCCCCTCCTACTCAGAGGAATATTTTCTTTGAAGTAAAACAATCCCAAGAGGGGAGAAAGAGTGACTGGAACCCAATAAACAGGCCCTCGGCCATCCTACAGGGCCAGAGAACATCATTAACACATCACCAACCGGTTGGCGAGTGGACAGGGTGTAGGGGAGGTGGAGCCCCGTGGAACATCGCACCCGACGATTATAAGTACTGCCGTCCATCGGGAAGGCCCACCCGGGAAAGATCTCCCCTGAAGACCCCTCTTATAGTAAGTTTAACATCAAAGTCGTGGCAGGTGAGTTGAGGTGAGGGGCCACACCCCAACAGGCCGGGCAGCCAGAAGGGCGCAAGACACCACAATAGCTCACATCAGCCTAAAACATGCTTGGACAGTACAAACCCTTAAAATGGCTAGAGTATACTCACCATCTTTTAAAATCAGAAGAATGTTTGAAGAATAAAGCTAATTTCATCACATTTTCTTTATTATGAGAAGACAATAAACCTAAGAATTGTAGCTGCTTTAGCTAGGCAAAGTATTCTGCCAGAACTGCATGGAAATTCACTAATACATATACATTTTGTTTCTTTGCTATGTAATGACCTTTTTAATTTTCAAACCCAACTGCTATGATTTGGCCAAGACTCCAGTGTCAAAATATATTTCCAAGTTCTTAAATTGATAACGTCCACCATTACCTATTATATTCTACATAGATCCCAAAGAATAATGCCAACAGACTTGACATATTGAGTTAGTAGCTCATTTTCCCTTTTTGCACTTTTGGCAATTTTGCTAATGAGGAATGAACTTTTATCCAGTACAAAATTAAAAAGCCCCAACATCTAGAAGTGTTTTTCTTTCAACAACCTTTGCCACGCTCTCTTATCTTTGAAGAAATAACTCAAGGAAATAATTGTGGAGCAGTGCTGAACATGAGACACCACCTTGCAGGAATGTTTAGTGGAACAGACAAGGCTTTTCATTTTAACAAAAGCAGTAAGTGCTCCCATTATGCACATGCTGGCCTGCATGTGCATAATACTATGTAAGTTCTCGTGGCAGGGCACTGGTTGTGCCTGCCACTTTAAGGGCCTGGAGCTAGCAGCTGCCAGGTGCCTGATGAGGGCAGCTATTTTGAACCTAGGGCTGCCAGTATAAATAGGGCAGTTTTGCTGCTGGAGGCCAGGCAACAACATTGCCTGGCCACAGGGCTGCTGGGATCATCTGGAGGTAAGGGAGGAGCTGTAGGGGATGGTTTTGGAGGCTCCTGGTCCTGGGCATGACCTAAAACTGCACCCTGCCGGGAGTGGGTGGTCTGGTGGGGCTCTCAGTGGTGCGGGAGCCCCCAGGAAATGCCAGGCCAGCTACCCCCCTGGTGAAAGGCAAGTAGGGGCACCTTAACCCCATCCCTCACCTTCGGGTAGGTAGAAGTAACATCGGTAGTAGCACCACGACCTGCTGTCCCAGGCGGGGAGTGAGAGTCCCCTGTGAGACCCTGGGGTACCAGTTGTGGTGTGAGGTACCCCAGCTCCCCCACATCCAGTGAAAGGGGACCCGGGGAGAGTGTGGGGCTAGTGAGGCCGAGGTAGAGTGCCCCTCAACTGGCCTATGCCGGGGCCAGGACCAAAAGGGACAAAAGGGCCAGGGGCCCACTGTGAGGGGCACCCAGAGCTGTGGGCCTGGGACCCTGCCTGGCTTTGGAGGTGAGGCCAGGGCCTGTGTGTGGCTGAAGGTCCTGAGCGGGGAACCACACCCGAGAGGGGAGCCAGCTATGAGGAGCTCAGCAGCCCGGATGAAGGTGGCGTAGGCCGCCTGAGTGGAGGGTTCGAAGGAGGGTCCCACCAGGAAGATTCTGGAGTCCAGTGTGTGGCTGGGGTGCTTTTTAACATCTGGATGCCATCTGCGAGGCTTGGGCCATGGTGTAGGGGTGGTACAGAGCCACGGGCACCCCCCTAATATCGGGGTGCGAAGAAAAATGGGTAACCTCCCACCTTATTTACCAACTTATTATCTTCCAACAAGGCGTGGTGGGCAAGATAAGTGGGCAGTGTGCCCAGAGGCAGGTGGTGGGGACAGTGACGGCTGGCCTGAGGATACCCACTTTGCTACAGTGCTATATAGTCCATGAGCCTAACCACATTCTCTGTGCGGCAGACTATGCCTTGTTAAAACTGTTACATTTTGGCAGGGTAGAATATCATTACCCCCACCTGTTATCTTGAATGGCTATTTCATTTGCGGCTGCATGAATTTGAAGGACAGAAACATTGGACAGGATTTGATCCTGCTAATTTTTTTTCCAAGGGACTCTCCCTGTTTCTCCTCTTCACACCCTGCTTTAGTATTTCATCATGGCTCTAATGTTTCTTGAAGCTTACTGCCCTAAGATACTTAAGTACATATTTTACAGGGGCTTTATAGAAAATGCTTTCTGCTTCCTAGAAGTTACTCCTTTATCAGAATACAGCTAACCATTAGCACATAAAGATTCTGCAGTTCATTAGCTGTGAAATTACAGTATTATCCTATAGGGGAGCAAGCTCCAAATTTTACCACCAACACTCCAATCCCACCAATAGAAATGACAGACCTTCTGATCAATCAACAAATAACAAATAACTCTAGTCTTCAGAAAGTGCCTCTGCATCCATGTATTTATCTCTCTAGATAAAAAAATATAAATATAAACACAACACACACTAAAAGAAACAGATCATATTTTGAAATATAAGCATTGAAATTATAACTGTTAAAGATATTAAAGATTATTTTTACTTTATGTCACAATTTCATGAACACTTTTGTGCCACAATGAACATTTTCTTCCTCCAATAATGCAGTTTGAGACTTTATAGAATAGACAAATTAAGTCAAGGTTTTGCTTGGGAAAATTTTCCCAAGGGTTCCTCATTTTTATATAGGAAATCAATTTGCATCACTGATGATATCATTCAAATCAGATGACACTATGTGGTTAGAAGGTAATTTACTTTTCTGCTGAAGCAATTTGATTCTTGTTCTGATTTGTGATTTTCATTTTGTCTGTTAATGAAAAAAATTAATGAGCAATGTTACTAGAAATACAACTCAAAGCACTGGCATTATTAAATATGTTTTCAATATACTGTATATTACATTGATTGCACAGTCAGAGCCCGAGCCTTGCAGTTAGGCCGTCAGTCAATCAACCAAGCAGACACTGAACTCTCAAGGAGGACTGCACATACCTTTGCACTGATTTGTGTTTTTGTCAAGAATTGCCTTTGTGGATACAATTTTCCCATACCTAAAAAGAAAGAAAGAACAAACAAAATTAGAAAGAAACATTATTATATTTTAAGCCTAGAATTATGTGGTTTTAGTAGTCTACATATTTTATTACACATGCATACACAGGTGGATCTAGGATTTTGAGAAGGAGGCATGGGAGCAGTGACCCTGCATCCTAGCTCCTAGCACCTCCCCCTACCTACGACACCAGTGCAGAAAGACTGCACTACAGGAACAGGAGCCTGGGATTTGTTTCAAGTTCTCTCAAGCAGTAAGAACCTTCTTTCACTTCTCCCTTCACTTCAGTTGCACTTTGCCTCCCATTCTCCCCTTCCTTGCCTGCCACCGCCACTTCTGCTGCTGCTGTACCCAGCTGAACCAGGGACTGGGAGGGGGTGGTGGGGAAGGAGTAGAGGAAGAGATCCTGAGCTGTGCCCAGTCCTGCTGCAGTTGGGCTGCAGCAGCAGAGGTGGCAGTGAGGTGGTTCCTTCCTCCATGCCAGTTCTCAGGCTGGCAGGAAACACCAGGGGAACCAGCCAGGGATGAGGGACCACCTGATGCTGCTGCTGTCAATGGCTTGAGCTCAGCTCTAAGAGAAACCTGCCTGAAGTGGGCAGGAGCATCTCTGGAGCTTCATCCCCACTCCCAGGGAGAGAAGGAAAGGAGGTTTAGCTGAGCATGGAGTGGAAGGGAGGGACAATTCTTACTTTTAAAAAAAGTTCCCAGTGGGTGCTCCTGTGGCATGATCAACTTAAAGGGAGGTGCATCTGTACCACTGCACTCCCCCTGGATCTGCCCCTGCACACACACACACACACATACAGGTGTGCGCAAATTATATACATGACACACGAGGAGGAGGCTTATAAAAGGTGCTGGCTTGATGATCCTAGGAACAGAAGTAACAGATTTACCTAGAGAGGACGTACAAGATGAACAACAACCTTCCTAACTGTCATTGCAGTTTGAAATTCTTCCTTAAGAAGGTTGTTTATTTTCTATATCCATTCAGTCTCTGAATTCTCATTGAAACTGACAATGTAATCGCCAATTACAGTCATGACTTAGGAATGTCTACATTAGTGATTCTCAATGGGGGTTCCGCAGCAATGATCTCTTTACCTTTACAGGTACCATGGGATGCCACACATTATTAGCACTGTTAGGTGTGCAACCACCTATTTATTTGTGTGTTTTTTTTAAATTTATATGGGAACTAGTATCTCAGGATTCATAGATTCAAATTAGGGGCTGAAAGGGAACTCAAGAGATCATCAGGTCCATCCACCCTGCTCTGAGGCAGGAAAGATTGCTGGGGTCAGATGACCTCAGCAAGGAGCACGTCCAGTCATCTTTTGAAGATCTCCCATTAGGTGGGAAGGTGAATGCACCACCTCTGGGAAGAGTCTGTTCCAGACTCTGGACACACGAACCATAAAGGTTTCCCTTATGTCTTATCTGAATTGATCTTTTCTCAGTTTATGACCATTATTGCTAGTCTTCCCCTGGGATGCCTTCATGAACAGATGTTCTCCCAGCCCCTGATGTTCACCCCTTGTATACTTAAAGGCTACCACCAAGTCCCCCTGAGTCTTCTTTTTTCCAGGCTGAACAGTCCCATGTCCTTCAGCCTCTCCTCATATGGCCTGTTCTCCAGACCTCTAATCATTCCTGTGGCTGTCCTTTGGACTCTTTTCAGCTTCTCTACATCCCTCTTGAAGTGTGGCACCCAGAACTGGATGCAGTACTCCAGTTGCAGCCTCACCAATGTTGAGTAGAGCAGGAGGATAACACATAGAACAGGAGGATAATACAGAGATCCCCTAAACAGCATCCCATTCTAGCATTACTTGGTAAGTTGCAGCTAAAATAGGAAGGTATGACAGTGCTTTCAAAAGTTGTCTAATGTCAGGCTCTGGCATGCCTGAAGAGGGAGGGACTTCCAGAGCTAAGAAGCAACTACAGAGAATGACATCCCATGTATTTTCCCCAAGCAGACTGATGGTTGTTTTCAGAGACCTTGCAGTGGGGTGTAAGGGAAAGGGTGACCACCTTAGCTACACAGGGCCCAGACTATTTTGGGCCCTATAGATCAAAAACAGCTCCTTGAATTACTCCCAGAAAGCTACTGAGAGCCACTGTAGATTCTGGACCACTTAAGTTATATGTTCCTAGTGACCCAGCCCCATTAGAAAGTGGGCTACCACGATCTGTACTAACAGCAGCTTCCAGATAGTTTTCAAGGACAGCCAATGTAGAACACATTGCAGTAGTTTAGCCTTGAAATTACAAAAGCATAGGTGATGGTGGCCAGATCAGAGTCTCAAAAAAATGGGGTTACAACCTTTCTACCAGGTACAGCTGGTGAAAGGCACTCTTAGCCATGTCCACCACCTGAAGATCCAGGTGAAACAGAGGATCCAAAAGCAACCAAAGACTGCAACCATAAATGACAAGAGGGAGTTTAACCCCATTGATGATAGATGTCCCAGTCTCCCACCCACCATATGTTTCATAAGATAAACCCAGAGATTTCAAAAAGGAATCCAGAGTGTCAAAAACAGTCCAGCCTGCTATGGTCTTTCTGAATTCTTTACAACAGAAGAACTTTTCTATTATTTTTCTGTAGTTAAAAAAAAGTGTGAAAGCTAAGAGCTGGCTGGCATTTCAGAAACTGTCTAAAAAGATTGAGAACAATCATAGACGAAGAAATTTGTCTTCCAGCAAATTAAGTTTATTTAAATGTACATTTCAATTTTAAGTTTGTCAAAGGAGAAGTAGTAATGGGCTTAAATCACAGAAGGGAAATTTAGGCTAACTATTTCAAAGAACTTTCCAGCTATGAGGGTGGTTAAGCACTGGAACAAATTACATAGAGAGATTGTGGGATCTCTGTCACTGGGAGTTAAGTTCAGGTTAGACAAACATTTGTCTGGGATGGCTTAGATGGGAAAGTTCCTGCCCTGGGCAGTAAGCTGGACTAGATGAACTCCTGGGGTCTCTTTTAGCTCATTTTTTTATATGATTCTATAAAAGAAGGTTTATTTTAAAGGGAATGAGGCAGACTTTTTACTACTAAATGCTCTGTAAAACTGGCTGACAGAAATTAACAGGATGATTTTTTTTTCATTTTTAAGTTATCTAATACATCTTAAATAATAATTTTAAAAAATGGTTATTTTTCTATCTTTAGTCTTTCCATCTCTCTCCAAGCTGAGCATTGATGAGTACATGAATAAATGACATCACCTTATATAGCACAGTTTCTAAGTAACTTCACAGGACTTGGATTCAGGAGAGAGAATTTTAATTGTATGGGCCAGTGACACCTTGTTGCATTAAGTGGTTAGAACAAAAGGTAAGAATTTGTCTTTAGCTCACAGGAAGTAGGAAGGAAAATGAAATGGATTTAAGAGTCAGTTTGAAATCATCTGTTTCGTGCAACAGCAAAAAAGCTCAAAAAGGGCGATCTTTTGCAGTCAGAACATAACAGATTTTAACAGAATAGGGAAAATATTTTTATTCCCAAGGCTACTCTTCTGGCTTTATCTCTTCTTCAGTTCTACCTAGAATCTTCTTCAAGACCCTTACCCACCAGATTTAAAGAAACTGTGCACTTAGTCTTTCTGTTCGTTGCTTTCATTTTTGTAGACGTCCCTATGAAGTATAAATGATGTAATGGCTCTATGACAGCATGTGATCCCTGAGCAGTTAACATATTGGTCTCTGGCTGCCAGTCTTGGCAATGTTCTCCCTATTACGGGTATGGGGTTTTGTCCCCATTTTGCCCGTACAGGTGGGGCAAAGTGGAGTGGCCCTTGGAATTAAGGGAGCTCATAGGGCACCAGTGTGGCACAGTGGGGTCGTCCACTGCATGGCACAGAGGGAAGGGAGTCCCATGCTGTACTATGCAGTATGTCAGGGGAGCCACGTGGCACAACAGTGTGGGAGGGGTTCAGCATGGAGCCTAGGAGACATACGGCCCTAGGCCACTCAGAAGTTGGACAGCTATGAGTTATAGCATCACCTTACCATGAAATACAATAATAAAATTGCATCACCTAAGGAAAAAGCAAATTAGTAGACAAATATTTTTATGGGTAAAATTTAGCTATGTGAAGAATTCCAGTACATGCATGATAAACTACATGAGTTTATAGCAGGACAATTTTTATCTCCAGATTTGATGGTATTCATGCTATTTCAATTTACTGCTTAGGATAATCAACTGGACACCCTGGGCTGTTCCTCTCTAAATCACAGTGTGAGAGAGGGGGTGCATCTACATGCTAATTAGCTCCCCAGTAAAATATCACTGTCTACACATGAGCCCATATTAGGGTGTAGTAAATTAATTAACTCTGCTGTAGGATAGTACTGTCTGAGACAAGTATCATCTTATAGCAAAGTAATTATGTGCACCAAAACACACGTGTAGACTGTCATCGGGGCTGGCTGGGGCACAAGGGTGCTATAGTGTGAGGCCTGTCTGCTGGCTAGCCCTGCACTGTACCATCCTTGTGTCCCAGCCAGCCCCTCTGCAGCACAGTGAGCTGAGTAAGAGCAGCCCTGGGCTGGCAGACTTACCCCTTGGACCCCCTGCCAGCTGGGGCTGTTCTGCCCCAGCTCAACCTGCTGCAGTCCTGGGTATACGTGTAAATGCTAAACCCAGGAACAACAAATTCTGGCATGAACTGCACTGGAGTTTATTGATCTGTGCTAATTGCATATGTAGATGCATGCAAAAAGATTAGGTAGATCACCTGGGATGTGGTACCTGGATTACAACCCATGTTGCAGTGACTATTTCAGCAACAAGTGGAACCCCATCAAGATGAGAGATTAAGAGTAAGCAACTCCAATATACTCTATAGTAGAAAATGAGAAGATGGTATTTGAGATTACATCAGGCAGAGGAATATATGTGGGGCTCTGACTTTCTGGGTTAGTGCCTTAGCCACCAAGCTATAAGGTTAACAGGCACTAGCACCTTCCCTCCTACACATTTTTTGTGAA